TCTCTCTCTCTCTCTCTCTCTCTCTCTCTCTCTCTCTCTCTCTCAGCTTATAACAAGATAAGAAGAAAAAAAACAAGAAAATGAGTATTAACCTTGAAACTTAGAGCAGTATATGGAAGCATCAACTTCTATCTCCTCTTAGTCTCATGAAACTCAAAGAAGTAATATAAATTATATCATTTTGCAGACAACACAACTTCAAACAAGAAATTTGGAGTCGAAATGTTATTAGTATCGGCGTGCGAAACATTAAAGTGTGACGTGAGAGTTTATGGTGTGATGTCTTTTTTTGTTTTGTTGCAGTATGGAAGAGTCAATTTTCATCAATAAAACTAACAAATAGATAGAATTTAAAAAACTTAATTAACAAATATTTCCAAAAATAACTAAAGATAAAAAAATTAAATATTAATAAAAAACAATAAATAAAATATTTAATATGAAATTCTAAAAGAAAAAATAAAAAGAAATTAAATAAAAATATTATTACTGAAAGATGGAAATAAAATCGATAAAAGAATGAATAATTAGACCGGTATCAAAGTGCTCAGAAAAATAAAATGAATATACAAAAGTGATAAGCAAAAAATATACAATTCGAAAAAATACAGCGTTTGTTCAAATTTTGAAATAAAATTTACCCGATTAAATAGCTTAAAGTGTCCAAAAAATGCGACCGAAAAACTAAAATGAATACGCCAGGTTAAACTATGGAAAATGTAGATTAATATTGCTGACGTTTGCAGGCTCAATTTTAAAATTTTGTATCCACCGATTTTATGCACAATTGACTTTTAGTTTGACCAATTCGACTGTAATTCTAACAAGTTTATTCTGGTTGATAATTTGGGTATTATGCAAGATGAAAGATTTGATAAACTATGCAGCCGATGCAAAAAGACGTGGGATCTTAGAGTCAAAAATTAAGATATGACAATACTAAGAATGTCTTGCCTCGTTGTCGTCGCATAGTGGAGATGGCGCGGGCAAGCATTGCCAATGATATATTCTCTGAGGGGTCTGCTGTCAGACAAGTACTGAATGATATTATTGCAAAGGCACATGGAACACTTTTGTACCGCAGACGTCGCGCGAGGACAAAGGGGATTGAAGGGCGAGGAGAGACCAGGCAGAGGGGCACATGAGGTAGAAGAGAGGTTGTCAAGCACACCCACTAGTATTCTCTATTTATTTTGTTTCAGTATTGTATTTTGTACGTTTTTTTTTACATTGTTATTACATTTTGGATTTACGTGATGTATGACATCCTATTAGTATACCGTTATGTTATTTTGATGTGTATGTTATTTTATAACTCATCTGTGAACAAATACACAATGCGTTTTTTTTATAAAAAAACTATTCTGAAACACTTATGAGATGTATCTCCATAATTTTTTTTCGTAAATGCATTTCCGGACAAATTCAAATGGAAATTAACTATGAGAGATATGTTGTGACCGTTTAAGGTTTAAATTGTTCCGGAGATATATCTTCAAAATATTATTAAGCCCTAGCGCGCATCCGAAAATATATCTCCGAAATCTATGAACATTTATGAAAAATCACATGGTGGGAAAAAAATCCATGAAGTGGGATAAGAAATTCTCTAACATGATAAGTTGGTATTGGACTGATATTATAAGTAAATAGGCTTAGGCCCATAAATATCTTTTCAACATTTTAATTAAATAATTAAAAACTTTATTAATATTATTAAATATTAATTTAATTAAAAGTTTTCTTAAATATTAATAATTTAGTTAAAATTTCATGTGCTGTCTTAAATGCTAGATTCGATCCAAGGATAAGTAGTTCAAAGGGCATGCGTTCAAACTAGGGGTGTACGCGGGTTGGGTTGGACCGGGTTCGCCTTAACCCGTTACCCAACCCGTTCAACTTTCAATGGGTTGGGTTTATCATCAAACCCGTAATTCTACTTTAAAAATCGACCCGAATCAACCCGGATATTTACGGGTTGGGTAGCGTTGGGTCCACGGGTTGTGTATATAATAATTATTATTTTCAATTTAAAAAATCTATAACACAATTCAATATAATTTTGCATATTTCAAACAATTAAATTATTTACGTAGTGGAGACAAATCCTACATATAAAATAGAATAATTAAAAATATAACAATTAAAATTTTGAAATGTATTTTCTTTGTCATAAAAAATATTAAGATACATATACACCATTAATTATTTATATATTTCCATTAATATACCTTAATTTATAAAAATTTATTAGTTATTTTGATACTCAAATGTTATCCATTACAAATATATATCAACATATGTAAAACAAATATATAATAATATACAGTATATATTAGTTGTTTTGATACTCAAATGTTACATTTTCTAGCACATGCTTAAAAGTAGGTCCGTAAACTATCATATATATTAACACTTAATAATATATAAAATTCCATAAAATATCATTTCCATAAAATTCATAAATTCTAAATAATTCAAAAGCAAATAAACATCACTTAGTCTTAAAATGACATAGATGTATTGGTCCAATATTGGTCTAATAGCACCAAAATCTAACAGCAACTATAAAAGATTCCAGCACCAGCAGTGAAAGGTTTAGCAACAACAGAAAATCCAGCAACAGTAGCTGTAAAAGATTCCAGCAACAACAATGAAACGTTTAGCAACAACATAAAATCTAGCAACAACAGTTAAAAGTTTAAGCAACAATAGTCAAAAGAAGAAGGAAAAAAACAACACTAGAAAATACCTTAAAATCTAGTAGTAACAGTTGTATTGAGCTCAACCGCAGTAATGCCAACATCAATAGAAACTAATCCAGCTAACTCTATATATGTAAACACAAACAACTAATAAGAATAATGTAATGTAATACTAAAATAAAATAGATTTTAAAATTCAAACATATAATTCATACCTGACTCAACCTTTTCCAATTCAACCAACTCTTTTTCTAAATCAATGACCTTAGGAGATTTGATCCAATTTTGAGTACAAATCAAAGCTTCAACGGTAGAGGGATTCAAGGAACTACGAAATGAATCAAGGACACGACCTCCTGTACTAAAAGCGGATTCAGAAGATACAGTGGATACAGGGATAGCCAATATATCTCTAGCTATGCGGGAAAGCACATGATATTTATTTGTTTTTCCTTTCCACCAAGTGAGAATATTAAATGTAGGAGAATCATCTTCAACACCATCCTCCAAATACCTTTCCAACTCATTTTTTTGCACTTCACATTGTTTTTTCTTCATATTCATTCTAAACAAATTGTCCCAATCTTCATCATCTTCACCATTTTCAATTCTAGAATGAGAGGCAATGTTTGAAGATGAGGCATTGGAACCACCATCATGAGAAACAGGATACAAAAATAAATAGTGCTCAAACAATTTAGCAATGAGAGATTTCAATTTCTTTAACATATCCTCTGATAATTTTTCACCATACATCCGAGTAAAACAAAATTCAATATAGTCAAGCTTATAACGAGGATCAAGATAAATAGCAACAAAGAGAAGATAATTTATTGTATTGCTTTCCCAATACTTGTTGTACTTCAATTGCATATTTGCTGTCATGGTTTTCAAAATTGGATCACTAACATTGTTGAAGGAAAATTGCGATCTAAACGCAGCGGAAAACAAAAATTTCCTTTAGTGATCCTTACGAATGAGCATGGTCAGTGATAGAATCGTTACCTCTTTGTGGCGATTCAGATCTTTGATGCAGCGATCACAAGCGTTGATGAAGTGCAACGCCTCTACTCAGTCCACACGAACAGCTTCCGGTCACAGTGCTAGCTGCTTACGAACGGAATTATTTGAGTGAGAAAAGAGAATCAAAAACGAAATTGCATCAAGTGAAAGCTTCATCACAAGGGTTCCTTTTATAGACTCTCTTGTGGGTTGCGGGCTAAAAACCCAATTCACATGATCCATAATAATATTATACATTATTATAATAACTATTATTATAATAAATATATTTATTTTATTATTATTTTATAACCATTATAAAATAACAATAATTATTATTATATTATCCGAATTTCTATTTTTCACTTAAGTGCACCGTACCTTACGGTGTTTCTTTGATTTCTCTATCTCTCATCAAACTGTCCTTATGTGTGTGACCCTGTAGGATTTCGTAACGTTGGTAATTATATTAAATTATATATTTAACATAATAAACAGTAAGCGGTATCTAGCAACACATCACTGCTACCCAAGTCACGAAAATGTCATGTGATCTGACAAAACCTTTTTCGTGATAATATATGTTTGTACAATTACCCTTTTGCCCCTATGTCTATATTGAACACAAGGCATACACTGTGTCATCCTTGTCCAGTTCAATATTGGGCCCTTAGACATTTCTCCTGTTATGCAGGATTGACAAATTCCATCTAGGACACTCATGTCCCTCAGCATGCTTCGTGGAGTGCCCATCAACTGTCTTTATGATCATCCAGTTACGGATAATGTTTGATCAGCAATAAAGCACCCGACTCTACATCTAGGGTCCATAGTGGTTTCAGGTCGAAGGGTGGTAATACACCATTATCACCATGAGAATAACTTATGACACTTTGCATAACATACTATGTAGTATTCTCATAGCGGGTCAATCCGGTATAAATATTACTCCTAATATTTATACCTATGTCAAGACTTGATAACTCTTTATCCATGATCCATGAGATGTGATCATCAGTCTATCTTCATAATAGTCTCAATGCTTTTAATGTTATCCCACTTTGCAATAAAGCTTGACTACGGATATTTTAAGAATAATGTCTTTATGTTTAATGGGATCTCATGATTAAGTCACACTTAACATTTCATTAAACAAACTAACTATTCTAGGGACTTTATTATTCTGAAAGACAAACATAATAAAGAAATGCCTTTTATTATTAAACGAATAATCCGATACAAGTACCAAAAAGTATTGGCCTCTAGGGCTTACACCAACAATTGTGCCTCCATTTATTCAACGTTTTTTTTAATATCCATCAACTGTTTGAAAAAAGAGTTAGCAGTAACATGCAATGACCCAGAAAAAGAAAGTGTGGCATCATAAAAAGTTTTCAAAAACTTCACAAAAATACGAGCTCGTTCCCAATCAGCTCGATTAGGACATCCTTTCGACTCAATACGGAGATTAGTTAAAAATGCAACATCAGCATGTTCTAAGCGGTAAAATGCATGTTCATACTTTTCAGCGATGTTCAATATTAAATAAGTAGAGTTCCATCTGGTTTCTACATCTAGTGTTACCAATGCTTTAGAACATACACCAACAGCTTCTGCACACTTCTTGAAAGTAGCCAACCTACTAGGAGAAGCCTTGACAAACTTACATGCAGCCCTAATTCTTTTAACAGATTCATCAATATCCTTTATTCCTTCTTTGACAATCAAGTTTAATATGTGAGCACTACATCTCATATGCAAGTACTCCCCATTAAACAAAGTACGACCATTCCAAAAACTCATGCCTCGATTTAAATAATCAATTGCCAAATTGTTAGCACTTGCATTATTCATATTCTGAATCGATGTCCAAGTATCAGTGGTAAGAGACACCATTTGTTTATTAGCAGACAACATAGATTTCAATTTTTCTTTCTCATCGAAGTACAAGCATAAATAATCTCTGGCAACAGTGACACGAGATGGAATTTTGAATCTTGGTTGAGCCTCTTTCATGAACATATTAAATCCTTCATTTAAAAGGGAGCTCATCAATGATTATCATCTTTGCAAGTGTTAATCTAGTCCTCTCTTGATTAAAATCAACAAGTTTCAAGCTAACACTATTAGGATCATCCTCACTTTCTTTTCCAATAGCTATAGTTTTTTGTTTCTTATTGTTGCGGTGGAAATAGGATAACAAACTATTAATGAGTTTGAATCGCAATTCAATTCACAACCGCTCTTTGATTTATCCGAAGGAAAAGGTCAAAAGAGGGAAAACCTATTTTTGCATCGTAAACACAATGCGGGGAAAGATCTAGGGTTCGGGGGTTGGTTAAATTCAGGGAAGGTATTAGCACCCTAAACTTCTGTAGTACTCTACAGGAACCTTTTGTTCAAATGCTTACTATTTGCTTTATTTATTTGCTTAAGGTATATGTACAAAGGATTAAAAGTGAGAAAAGAGACCTAAGGGGTTAATTCTAAGTTTACTCGGCAAGACATCGCATCCTGTGCCTACGTATCCTTACGGGAGTGGAATCAGAGTAATCGTAGTTCCCCTCAAAAGGGAGGTTAGAGACTTCTTGACTGTGGTCAAGGTCTCAAGGGGAATAAACATGTCTTAAGGATACGCTTACATGGAGTGTAGAAACTCCAAATCTCTACGTTGAAAGGTTAAGTTGTAATTAGGGTTAAATTAGGTTAGGGATTCCACGGCGGGAAACCCTAAAATGAGCGTGGCGGCTCTTTGACCTAAAACTAGGATAAATTTGTAATCTTGCCTGCGGCGAGGCGTTTGGAGAATTAGGGTTTGCAAGGTGAAAGGGTTTGAAGTTGAGGACTATCGGCGCGGCGGCCAAAAGCTAGACCTAACCTTCGGATGTGTGTAGTGTGATTGGAATATTCGATGAGTGTGTGAGATAATTGAATTATGCAGACTTTTAAATGCGGAAACGTAAATGCGATTGTTAAGATTCGCAAGGTTACAGAGGAGGAATAGTTACAACAGTATGATACAATTCAGTTTTAAGAACGCGAATATAAAGAAACAACATGGTAAGCTGCACAGTGAACGAACTAGGTTAGTAAACAGAAGCATGAGGCTATGAGACGTTTTTTGTGGTTTCTTATTTTATGAGAAGCTTAATATGAGTCTAAGCTTAATTTTTTCTTACTTGATAAGGAATAAATAGAAAAAGAAGATCTTAATCTTTTTAAAAAAATATTTTCTCTTGGTTTTAAAAAAAATATATTGATTTTAATATTTTAAAAAATGTTTTAATTTTAATATTTTAAAAAAATGTTTTTTGATTTTAATACTTAAAAAAATGTTTTTTATTTGATTTTAATATTTAAAAAAATGTGTTTGATTTTAATATTTAAAAAACAACTTAAATATTTTTTTTTAAATTTGATAATTTAATTAAAAAAGAAAAAGAAAGTAGAAAAAATAAAAAAGGTTGGGCCGGTCATTACCTCCGGACCCAACCCGGTCGAGGTGATTGTAATCACAAGGTTACTTAGGGTTTCAGAACCCTTTGGTTCTTCGCAGCGCCGTTTACACTTCATTCTTCATCTCTCTCGCCGCGATTCCCTCTGATCTTCCTCATTCCTGAAACAAAACATGAAATCTGTGATGAAAAACATCCCATGGCTTACATTTAAAGCGAAAACGGCCGATGATGAAGAGATTCTGAGGCTGAGGCGATTGATTGCTCGTCGTTTGGTTAAACGGCGCCGGCGGTCCTTCGTGTGATGACTTTGGTGGAAAACTTCTTCTTCTTCTTCTGATGTCGCGGTCGTTAGGGTTTCTCGTTCGGTGATTTTTCTTGGCCCTCCAGTTAGGGTTCGTACGCGATTTCTCTCTTTCACGGCTCCCCCCTTTTCATCAGGTTGTACATCCCTTTTATAACTAACTTCTGGGCCTTGGATTTGCAATACTTCTGAGATTCGATTTGATATTATTTGATTTTGTTGTGATTTCCTCAGATATTGATTGCGATTGGATGCGGATTGAACTCTGTTTCCCCTTTTTTAGGGTTTAATCGATTCCTAGCTGATATTCTGATTCGGTTCAAAGATTTCTATCTCCAGAACTGAACTGATTTGTTTGATTGATTCAGGTTACACGCAAATGGGGATTCGATTTGATTTGATCATTTGGTTTTCAGATTGAGTTCTTTCTGATACGATTGGGATTTCGTTAATTTGTTTAACTGCTCTCTACTGATTCGTTTTTGGCTGACTTGCTTTATTGGCTTGTCTGATTGATTCAGATTGTCTCACATTGATTCAGATTGGTTCCAATGGAGATATTCCCTGATGCATTTGACTTGAAACTTTCCATTTCCAGCTTCGGCTTTGTTTGATCATTTGGATTGCTTCTGAATTTATTTGATTTGATTGATATCTGGATTAGTTCATTTGTTCTACTTGAATTCAATCTGGACTATGCTGGTGCGTTTTCGATTTGATTCAATTTTAGTAGTCTGAACTGATTCGCTTTGATCTGTTTTGGGATTCATTATCAAATCGACATCTCTCTATTTCTGATATGGTTTGCTTTTTGATGCAGCTCAGATCCTTTTCCTCTTCTTCTTTCAGAGAGGGTTGATGCTACGACTTGGGTTGAGTTGGGATGGCCGAGGAAGGCATACGGCAATGATGTTTATCTGAGCCCTCGACGCTTGTATTCTTCGATGATGCTGCGATTGCTTTCTGAGGATCTTCGCGTGGGGTTTACCGTTTATTCTCTTTGAATTGTTCCAACTGCTGATGATTCTTAGCTTGCAAACGTCTGTTTTTTTCTATGATGTTTGATACTGAAACCTCTTGATATGGCTTTGCAGATGTTGATGTTGCTGGTGTACTTTTCTGATGAGCGATAGTTTGTGTTGAGACACTAATCGCTTGATGCAGTTTTAGCTCTGATTTGGTTTGATGGGCTTTTCTTACTTGTTCGACCTCAGAGCTGCTGCTAACATTATAATTTATCTGTTTTGATCTTGAACCAAGTTTGATGGCTTTTACTGATGCTGCTGAGACCTTTTTTAATACCTTGTCCGTAGCTTGTTTCGTGTCTCATTTCTCTGTTCTGTTTGAACTGATGCAGCTTGATACCATATTTTGGTTTTTCTTGTTCTGCTGTGGACTGGATTTTCATTCTGTTTGGTACAGATTTGTTTTTTTTGGTGGCCATTCCTACCTGTATTGGTGCGAACCCTTTCCTAGTTTTGTTTTATGCTTTGAGTTCTGATGATGCTTATGTTTTTTCAGATGTTGGAAGTTTTGAAATCAAGGTGACTCAGACCTGCCGGCATCCGGGTCTGAGTCAAAACTTGCCTATGTTGCCTTATTCTCGTATCAGTCTGGAAATCCAATCGCGGCAAAACGAATCAGCCCCACTTCTTTTATTTTCTCTATCTCTCGGATGTCCCTTACGATAAGAACAATAACTACCTGATCTGACGCCGGTGGCTCAGATTGGTAACGGGAGTAGGATGCGGCTTTAGTCGTACCCTCCCGACACTCGATGATGACAATGTTCTGAGAGTGTCAAACAATCTTCTAACCTCTTTTCCTGTGGTTTGTTTTTGCTTTGATGTGCAGGTGATCAAGAGTTGCGTGAAGAACTCAAGGGAGGACCAATGAAGAAACTTGTAGTTTTTTCTCTTTTTAGGACTTTAGGACCTAGAGTAGATACCCATTGTAAATGTATAATCCTTTTGTAAATGAAAGATCATCATGAATAAAATCCAAAAAATTACTTCCATTTCATCTTGTAATTCTAGATGTTTATGAAATAAAATCCATTAAATATTCATTTATATTTTCTCAATTATGAATTTAAATATCCATGAATAACCATCCATAAATTATTTAAATTCAACTTGATTTGTAGTTTATGAATATTCATGAATAAAAGCTTCACAGCTATTAAAACTTAACCTCTCCTTGGCCTTTTATAAATGATATCCCGCCATATGATTATATCCAAACAAATTCACATTAAAAACCTCGTTGATCACATCACTTCTCAAAATAACCATAACAGTGCCCACTTCTTTTTCAAACCAACTTCATCTTATTAAGAGAAAACAAAACTGCTTTAGAAATGTTTCCACATCATATAAGACGCGATCCCTAATCCAATCATATTTCTGACAAAACATACCGGCACCTTGACCTAATTGGCAAATAAATGCCTCAGAACGTAAAAACAGCCCGTTTTCAGAGAACTGGTAGAACTTGTGTAAAATGACCAAAATACCCCTGGGACCAAATCTGCAAAACAGACACCTCCATGACTTGTTAGTGGTTAGCAAATGTTCATAGGAGATGATATGCGAAATGCCTGACTAAATGTAAGGGTAAAATTTGGGGTATTACACTTATCAACTACCCTATTTGGATTTTTCAGGCACACTTTCAAATGTTTATGCATGTTAGTAGTGCCATGACTACCACTATTTGCAGCATATTGTTTCCCACAATACTTACATATAGCCTTATCATTAACCCTTTTAAAATCTTTCCAAACTGTAGAAGGTTTTCTAGAGGGTTTTCTTTTGCTTATCTCTATTAGTGCACTTGGTGGCAATGATGACAACCCTTCTCCTTGTATTTGTTGAACTTCTTGCTCTTGTTCAAGTGGATGAGCAACATCTTCACTGACAATTTGTGATTGTTCCACTTCCATTTTCTATAAAAAACAATTTTTAATATAAATTATTATTAAAACAACATTAAACAAAATATATTTAAATTAATAATATGAAACAGAACAGGACTTTGCATCAAAATATATTTTCATCATATGAAACAAAATAGTACTTTGCATCATATGAAACAAAATAGTACATTACATTGAACCTATCATCATATTTTGCATTGATATAAAACTATTGAAGTACATACTGTAAAAACAATATATTGCATTGAAATAAATATATTGTAGAACTATAAAAAGTATAAAACCTTATTCAATATGGAGACGAAACTATGAGAGAGTCAAAGTATAGACTGTGGATTTTCGAAAGCAAGATGGA